CCCCCCCAATTGTATTCCCCTTTCCTTAATTTGGTTCTACAAGCTCTCACTCCCAATTTAAAGCTTAATTTGTTTAACCCACTATCCAGATTGAATTGTACAAATCTTACCACCGTCCCACATCATTAACAGAAAAAGAAAATAGATTTTCCCCAAGATCCACCCCAGTTCCTTCCACAAATTCCCTTTTTTTAAACACGTCCGATCAAAAGTAAAATAACATGCGTAAGTTATGTAAAGAAATAGAAAATAAGAGATATAGAAAAATTCAAAAATGGTTACACAGCCTTTGGATTTCAAATCTCCCCCCTTCCCGGTTTGAATTCCCCATGTCCATCAGTCTATACATTATCAGCTTGGAAGTCTCATTTCATGACCAGATTTCTCCCGATTCCATCTTGCCGGATTTCTTTTAGTTTATTAATTTAAATAATATTTGACTTCAAATGTCCAATCTAACAAAGGCCTTTAATTTCCTTGATCTTTACCACTCCTCCCGTTGTTCTTTCCGTGTCGTAATCAGTCCTTTATTCTTCTTATTCCTCACTTTCTCAGGTTTCTTGTCCTGTTCAGCTGCTAAAACTTTCTAATTCAGAAATCTAGTGTCTCTGCAGAGGTTTGTTATTCAGGAACAAAAACTTACGTCCAGTCCCTTTCTTTCTTCAATAAAAAATTCCATTGTCTTCCTCTGTAGACAAAATACTCTTTCAGTTTTGCAGCTTTCCCAGAAGATAACAAATCCTGTGCGAATCCCAGGGTATTTTTCCACTTACGACCGTTCTTGTAGTATCCCGAAACCCCTCTAGGGGGATTGTAATAACTTTGTATCCTCTAATCCAAAAGTCAAATTGTTGCTTATTTTCCAACAGTTTATATCCATATTATAGCAAATTGTAACAAAATTAACCAGCAAGGTCCTCATAACAAAGTCCTCTTTATATTCTCCAGCTTTGACAGCCACTTTGACAGCTGTCAAAGTCTCCGTCTCTCTTCACCAGGCTCCACGAATCGCCCCGGTTCCCAGGGGGGGGGTTGCATTTTTCTTCTCACCCTCCACTCTTCTCCTCCAGCACATTTCTTATAATTTCCCATCGTGAAATTAATGATTTTTATCAGAGACATACTTCCCTTTGGACCTTGGTTACCCAGTCCTTGTTTTGGAATGCTGACACAAGGGGGGGGGAATGACATCCAGTTAAATCGCCCCCGCTCGTGCCAAATCCAAAATTTTGAACCCGGTTTCCCAATTACTCACGGGTTGTTGTTAATAGTCCAAATTTTCAATAGAAGAAGTCAGCGCTCTCCGTCGAATGGCATGCGGCTGCGCTCGGCAGGAAAGCAGTGGACTCAAAGCACCACGCCACTCCCGGCACCCGATCCGAAGCCTTTAAAAGGCTCCTTCACGAGTCGGGAGGGCGCTAATGGTGCAAGCCGAGTCACCCATGTCCACGGACTCCGTGCCCGTGGTTTTAAGGGTCCCCGCGTCGCCGGCGCGGTAGGACCCAGCCCCTGCCGAGCAGACTCCCTCCGGAGCTCGGAGGGAGTCCGCCATTCGGCGATGGCGCTAACCCGGAAGTCTGTATCTACTTGCACTTTGACGTGCTTTCGAACTGCTAGGTTGGCAGGAGTAGGGACCAAGCAACGGGAGCTCACCCAGTCATGGGGATTTGAACTGCCGACCTTCTGATCGGCAAGCCCTAGGCTCTGTGGTTTAACCCACTTGCCACCTGCGTCCCCAAAAGCTTACCAAAAGATAAAATAAAAATTACAGCCGATGCGCAAAAGTTCAAATATTAAAGCAGATTGAAATCTGAAGCCTCCGATTCTTTTCTTTCCAGAGGGGAGTCGACATTTGCAAAATTTCAAAATACCCTGAGTGGTTGCTTTATTCACCCACCATGATCACACCACCGACTTCGACTTCTAGTCCTGGGATAATGTGGTTGACTGAAGAGCAGTGGCGTAGCGTGGGGGTGCAGGGGGGGCCGGCCGCACCGGGCGCAACATCTGGGGGGGGGGCGCGCTCGCACTCGCAGCTCTCTGCCCCTACCTGGCTCACTCTCTCTCTCTCACTGCAGTGCTGGCTGTGCGAATCCGATCCGAGCCGCTGGGTCGCCGCCCACTGTGGAGGGGTGGGTGCCAGGCGTGCGGTGCGGAGAGAGAGCGAGGGACTATCTGGGGGAGGGACAGTGCAGCGGCCGCCCAGCGCAGCGCTGAGCGCGGGAGAGAACCACACCAGACCAGACCAGGCAGCAGCAAGAAGAAGCTGGCAGCGGCGGCAGGTTAGGGTTAGGGGGCGCAAATTACTTGCCTTGCCCCGGGTTAGGGGGCGCAAATTACTTGCCTTGCCCCGGGTTAGGGGGCGCAAATTACTTGCCTTGCCCCGGGTGCTGACAACCCACGCTACGCCGTTGCTGAAGAGCAATGTCTGGCTTGAGGTGCCTGCCCTGCCCTGTGGAAGTTGCAGGAGTGGTTTTTCCAGTAGCTGCACCTCAGAGGTGTGCAAGGTCTCTGCAGAATCACGATGCACCTGCTGACCTTTCCAACGGGGTGCAGTTATGCAAAGCCCTGTGGTTTGGGGTCATCTCAGGAGTCATAAGAAGAACCGCGCAGGATCAGGCCAAAGATCCACCTTCCCAGCCTTTGTTGCCCGACAGCAGCAAGCAGGGAATCAAGGCAAGAGGGTTCTCTGCCCGTTCGCCACCTCCGGCGAGCGACATTCAGAGATACGCGGCTCCTAAACATGGAGGTTCCATTGAGGCTCCGAATCACTGCTACAATGAAATGTTTTATCACTCGTTTGCTACCTGGGGCTCCTTTTCTTCAAATTTTTTATTTTTTTATTTTTAGGTAGGTAGCTGTGTTGGTCCGACGCTGTCAAAATAAAAATAATAAAAGTAAAAAATTGTCCAGTAGCACCTTATTGACCAACTAAGTTTGTTCTGGTATAAGCTTTCGTATAAGCTTTTTTTACTTGGTCTATGGTGCTGGAGGAGACTCTTGAGAGTCCCATGGACTGCAAGAAGATCAAACCTCTCCATTCTGAAGGAAATCAGCCCTGAGTGCTCACTGGAAGGACAGAGCCTGAAGCTGGGGCTCCAAGACTTTGGCCACCTCATGAGAAGAGAAGACTCCCTGGAAAAGACCCTGATGTTGGGAAAGATGGAGGGCACAAGGAGAAGGGGACGACAGAGGACGAGATGGTTGGACAGTGCTCTCGAAGCTACCAGCATGAGTTTGACCAAACTGCGGGAGGCAGTGGAAGACAGGAGGGCCTGGCGTGCTCTGGTCCAGGGGGTCACGAAGAGTCGGACACGACTAAACGACTGAACAACAACAACAAGTTTGTTCTGGTATAAGCTTTCGTATAAGCTTTTTTAAGTTGGTCTATAAGGTGCTACTGGACATTTTATTTTATTTTATTCTTTATCTTCGTTGAGTTTTAATAATGACAGGCAGGTACAGCAAAAACAACAACAACAACAACCAGAAAAATGAAATAAAAATTTGCTTTTTTAATCACACTTGCCAGTGAATAAGGATAGCATATTTACTGAGTCAATCATGAAACATACCCAAAGCATGTGTGTTTTATAATTACACGGCCTAAATCAAAGCTATTACATATATTTTTTTGTACATTTCAAAAACGAGATTTGAAAGCAGCCTTGAACTATACTGAATCAAGACACTTGTTTGGCCTGTGGGAGGTGACACTTCTATATTTAATTAAAAACACATTTATTCAAAAGCTTCGTCCTCTGCCATAATACCACAAAACGATCTCTGCAATCCTCAGTCCTTCATCACGGGAAGCTGAGAGTCCCGAGTCACCGTGTTTGTAACACAGTAAGGATGCTTTAGCCATCACTCCTGCACTGCAGAGGGCTGGACTAGATGACACATGGGACCCCTTCCAACTCTACAATTCTATGGAATTATACCAAATGCTGTGGAAGCCATCTCAAACACTTTGACCCCTAATAATAATAATAATTTTTTATTTATTCCCCGCCCTTCCCAGTTCAGAAAACCGGGCTCAGGGCGGCTAACAACAAATTTAAAACACTTAATTGATGCAACAAAAAACATCATAAAATACAGTATGAAACGTGAATAACAATAAATTCAGGATTCAATAATCAATTTAGGGGGGGGAAATCCATCCATTAAACATTAGATGATCCCCAGGACTAGCTGGCTAAATTAGTCCTATTTGGGCCAATGAGGAGACCAGGGGAGAATTAGCTGTGGGATCCCAGAGCGGGTGATCTTCATAAAAGGGGAGGGGGAGGGAAAAGAAGGGAAATAAAAGATCAGGCTGAATTCAAATTAAAGGCCAGGCAGAATAGCTCTGTCTTACAGGCCCAACGGAAGGAGGTTAAATCCTGCAGGGCCCTGGTCTCATGGGACAGAGCATTCCACCAGGTCGGAGCCATCACTGAGAAGGCCCTGGCCCTGGTGGAGGATAGTCTGACTTCCTTATGGCCTGGGACCTCTAAACTGTGGTTATTCATGGATCTTAAGGTCCTCTGCGGGGCAGACAAGGAGAGGCGGTCCCATAAATACAAGGGGCCTAAGCCTTTACCGAGGAAGAGTGGGACACAAATACTACTACTACCACTACTACTACTACTATTACTATATTATTATCATTTATACCCCACCCATCTGGCTGGGTTTCCCCAGCAATTCTGGGAGGCTCCCAACAGAATTAAAAGCACAATAAAACATCAGGCATTAAAAACTTCCCTAAACAGGGCTGCCTTCAGATGTCTTCTAAAAGTTGGATAGTTGTTTATTTCCTTGTCATCTGACGGGAGGGCATTCCACAAGAAAGGCGCCACCACCGAGAAGGCCCTCTGCCTGGTTCCCTGTAACTTCACTTCTTGCAGTGAGAGTACTGCCAGAAGGCCCTTGGAGCTGGAGCTCTGTGTCCAGGCTGAACGATGGGGGTGCAGACGCTCCTTCAGGTACAATTCCAAAGAATGATAGAAGCTTATTGTATTTTAGTGTTTTGTTGGAAGCCGCCCAGAGTGGCTGGGGAAACCCAGCCAGATGGGCGGGGTATAAATAATAAATTATTATTATTATTATTATTGTTGTTGTTGTTGTAATTTTTTTTATTTATACCCTGCCCATCTGGCTGGGTTTCCCCAGCCACTCTAGGCAGCTTCCAACTGGATATTAAAAACACAATAAAAGGTCAAACATTAAAAACTTCCCTAAACAGGGCTGCCTTTAGATGTCTTCTAAAAGTCTGGTAGTTGTTGTTCTCTTTGACATCTGGTGGGAGGGAGTTCCACAGGGCGGGTGCCACCACCGAGAAGGCCCTCTGCCTGGTTCCCTGTTACTTGGCTTCTTGCAGGGAGGGAACCGCCAGAAGGCCCTCAGCACTGGATCTCAGTGTCCGGGCTGGACGATGGGGGTGGAGATGCTCCTTCAGGTCTACTGGGCCGAGGCAACAAATGATTTCTGGAAGCAACACTTGCTCCTGGCGATGGGCTGTTCCCGAAGGCACGGCACTTGTGAGTCACCCTCCCACATTCCATTGTTCACAGATGTTCCCTTCCAGCTGGGAAGGAGTACAGATGCTCAGTCGATCGCCCCGGCACACCTCAAAAGTTTATGATCAGCCCCGGAGGATCCAGTTCAAGGCAAAGGGGATTCCTTGAAGATGAAGACCTGCTTCCTTGTCCCTCTCTGCGTGCTGCTCCTCTGCACAAATGAAGGTAAGCCTGGCCAGCTTTGACAGCACAAGCTGCTAGTCCCTCCTGATTCCAAGAACGGTGGAATTGGGCTGTTTTTCAGGAAACGCAGACCAGCCTCAGGCACGGATGGGGATAATCGTTTCCAGCTCAGCCCAGCTCACCTGCCTGCGTGGATGGCAGGAATTTGCTAGCATTCCTAGAAAAGATGTTGTAAAACCCAGATCACTACGATAAGTCTCTGATACTGTAGAAAGTGTGTGTGTGATCTGTCAGGCCATCTGTCAGCGAACCTATATTGCAGGGGATTGGATGACCACAGAGCCTAGGACTTGCCGATCAGAAGGTCGGCGGTTCGAATCCCCGCAATGGGGTGAGCTCCCGTTGCTCGGTCCCTGCTCCTGCCAACCTAGCAGTTCGAAAGCACGTCAAAGTGCAAGTAGATAAATAGGTACCGCTCTGGGAGGAAGGTAAATGGCATTTCCGTGCGCTGCTCTGGTTCGCCAGAAGCGGCTTAGTCATGCTGGCCACATGACCCGGAAGCTGTACACCGGCTCCCTCGGCCAATAAAGCAAGATGAGCGGTGCAACCCCAGAGTCGGTCACAGCTGGACCTAATGGTCAGGGGTCCCTTTACCAGCTCTACAAGTCAACGACTCTTCTTCAAGTCTCTGTCTCAAATAGGATTTTGTGCAGCAAAAGGGCAACACAAGGACTCGTGGTACAGTCTCTGAGAAAAGGAACAAATGACCCCTTTGTCCTGGAACTGGGAGCCTCATCCCACTAAGCCAGCCTTTCTCAACCTGTGAGTCCCCAGTTGTTGTTGGACTACAACTCCCATCATCCCAGAGCTCAATTATTTTGTAGCACAAATAATCAAAATCCTAGCATTTATTGATTTATAGGGTTTAGGGACGCAGGTGGCCCTGTGGGTTAAACCACAGAGTCCGGGGCTTGCCAATCAGAAGGTTGGTGGTTTGAATCCCTGCGATGGGGTGAGCTCCCGTTGCTCGGTCCCTGCTCCTGCCAACCTAGCAGTTCGAAAGCACGTCAAAGTTCAAGTAGATAAATAGGTACCACTCCGGCGGGAAGGTAAACGGCGTTTCCATGCGCTGCTCTGGTTCTCCAGAAGTGGCTTAGTCCTGCTGGCCACATGACCCGGAAGCTGTCTGCGACAAATGCCGGCTCCCTTGGCCAGTAAAGCGAGATGAGCGCCACAACCCCAGAGTCGTCCGCAACTGGACCTAATGGTCAGGGGTCCCTTTACCTTTAGGGTTTACCTGCATCTATAACAATATTGGTGTTGAGGTCTGGGAGGAAAGGTCTTAGTGGCTAGTCTATGACAAGACAGTGTTGGACCACCAGGAAGGATGGGTGGGAAACGCGAGTCTATTCTATTTCTGGGGATCTTCTGGGCTGGTGCAGAAACACAGAGCGGCTGTAACTCATCCTTAAATGCTTTTGCTTTAATTCTTTTTTTGAAATAACTTTTTATTTGATTTTCCAAAATATAAACATACAACAAAAACAATTCCCAATCTAATTATCAAGATTACTCTGAATCTCCTGACTTCCTGCCATCGCTTCCACAGGTCCTATTGATTCTATTTTCAACTGCATATCAACACTTCTCCAGTTTTTCATCTTCCTAAATTATCTGTATGTTCTGTTACATTACAAGTGTGTTTACAATCCTGCTAATGTTTTTGACCTGTTTACAATGATTTTGCATATACATTATAACTGTGCTTTTTTTCCTCTTAAAAAAATGTTTAGGGGGTACTCTCATTTTGACTGAGAAAATCACCATTTCATAGTTCAAATCAGGAAAAATAAATACAGTAGATGGACAAAAGTACAAAGATTCACAAAATGTTTAGGGGTATTCATCCCCCTGGGTCCCCCCCAGAAAAAAAGCACTCAATTATATACATTTCCCATTCTTTTTTAAATTTCTTGTCTTCTTGATTCCTGAGCTTCCCAGTTAGTTTTGCCATTTCGGCATAGTCTATCAACTTGATTTGCCATTCGTCTCTGGTCGGGGCTGTCTCTTCCTTCCATCTCTGGGCTAGTAGCGTCCGAGCGGTACCACTGTATATCATTTCCCAAATGTTTTTAGTTACATGTCCACCACATATGACAAAAAGTACCTTCTTTTTCTTTACATTCCCAGCGTACAGTGGTGCCTCGCAAGACGAAAAGAATCCGTTCCGCGAGTCTCTTCGTCTTGCGGTTTTTTCGTCTTGCGAAGCAAGCCCATTAGCGGTTTAGCGGATTAGCGCTATTAGTGGCTTAGCGGATCAGCTGATAAGCGGCTTAGTGGCTTAACAGATCAGCTGTTAAGCAGCTTAGCGGATCAGCTGATAAGCGGCTTAGCGGATCAGCTGATAAGCGGCTTAGCGGCTTGGGAAAAAGGGGTGGGGGAAGGAAAAAACCCCCGCAGGAACTCGCAAGACATTTTCGTCTTGCGAAGCAAGCCCATAGGAAATTCGTTTTGCGAAGCACCTCCAAAACGGAAAACCCTTTCGTCTAGCGGGTTTTCCGTCTTGCGAGGCATTCGTCTTGCGGGGCACCACTGTATATTGGTACTTGTTCTATACATTTTTGCTAACTTTACCGGGGTCAAATACCACCGGTACATCATTTTCATAATTTTTTCTTTCAGTAAAGAACATGCCGTAAATTTCAGACCTGCTTTCCATAGCCTCTCCCAGACTGTCATTTGTATACAGTGGAAACTTGGGTTACGTCACCCTCGGGTAACGTAAACTTCGGGTTGCGAAAGTGGCAAACCCAGAAGTGTTTCACCGCTCACGCATGTGCAGAAGTGATCCTCTGCTTGAGAAAACTTTGGGATACAGCCAGACCTCCAGAACGGATCCAGAGGTACCACTGTACAGTGGTCCCTCGGGTTAAGTACTTAATTTGTTCTGGAGGTCTGTTCTTAACCTGAAACTGTTCTTAACCTGAAGCACCACTTTACTTAATGGGGCCTCCTGCTACCGCCGCGCCGCCACCGCATGATTTCTGTTCTCATCCTGAAGCAAAGTTCTTAACCTGAAGCACTATTTCTGGGTTAGTGGAGTCTGTAACCTGAAGCGTATGTAACCTGAGGTACCACTGTGTTATGTCCCACGTCTTTCTCCCTATGTGTCATCACATGCTTTTGCTTTAATTCAATAATTCTTTCCCCAGTTCACCCGCTGTGGTGCTTCACGTGCGAACCATCGTCCAGCAACTGGTCTTGCCTGAAGGCCACCAAGTGCTCAGAGAATGACAAGCACTGTCTGACCACAGTCGCCTCTTTCAGGATTGGTAAGTTGAAAGCAGGTTTCCAGTTCAGCAAGACAATTAACCCATTTTTAAGCTCTAAATGTTGCAGCGAAAGCAACAATAACAACAATATATTATTTATACCCCGCCCATCTGGCTGGGTTTCCCCAGCCACTCTGGATGGCTTTCAACAGAATATTAAAATACAATAGTCTATTAAACTTTAAAAGCTTCCCTAAACAGGGCTGCCTTCAGATGTCTTCTAAAAGTCTGGTAGTTGTTTTTCTCTTTGACATCTGATGGGAGGGCGTTCCACAGAGCGGGCACCACAACCGAGAAGGCCCTCTGCCTGGTTCCCTGTAACTTGGCTTCTCGCAGGGAGGGAACCACCAGAAGGCCCTCGGAGCTGGACCTCAGTGTCCGGGCAGAACGATGGGGGTGGAGATGCTCCTTCAGGTATACAGGACCGAGGCTGTTTAGGGCTTTAAAGGTCAGCACCAACACTTTGAATTGTGCTCAGAAACGTACTGGGAGCCAATCTAGGTCTTTCAAGACAGGTGTTATGCGGTCTCGGCAGCCGCTCCCAGTCACCAGTCTAGCTGATGCATTCTGGATTAGTTGTAGTTTCCGGGTCACCTTCAAAGGTAGCCCCACGTAGAGCGCATTGCCGTAGTCCAAGCGGGAGATAACCAGAGCATGCACCACTCTGGCGAGATAGTCCGCGGGCAGGGAGGGTCTCATCCTGCGTACCAGATGGAGCTCATAAACAGCTGCCCTGGACACAGAATTGACCTGTGCCTCCATCGACAGCTGTGAGTCCAAAATGACTCCCAGGCCGTGCACCAGGTCCTTCAGGGGCACAGTTACCCCTTTAGGAACAGGGAGTCCCCCAAACCTGCCTTCCTCCTGTCCCCCAAAAACAGTATTTCTGTCTTGTCAGGATTCAACAAAGCAACATTTGGTCATGTGCTTTTTGGGCAGAATGTTCCAGGATTGATGCCAGGAAACGGAATTATCTTCACATGTGGTGGGGGTGTAAATATGTTCAATATTATTTTTCGCAAAAGGAGATAACAGAAATCACTGAGTTAAAGCTGACCGAAAGTCCAGAGGTAGCATTATTATCCATTTACGATGGGGTGGAAGGTTCGCAGACTATGAAGGACTCGCTCACAAATTTATTGACAGCTGTACGAATTATTATAGCTAGGAAGTAGAAGGGGCAAGCAGAATATAAAATGGAAAAATGGTATAAAGAGCTGTGGGATATAGCTTTTAATGATAATTTAACATGTGCCATTAAGGTAAGATAGGGAATATGCAGGAGAAATGATTTTGAAGAAATATGGAAGGTGTTTGTAGATTTTGTACTGTTAAAACGGAAAGGGGTCAAACCATTGCAAGAGGTGTTAAAATTGCGGGAGGTTGGATAACTACAATGGAATGGTCTTGGTGGTGAGGTGCACATTTTTATTTTATTTATTTACTTTGTTCAAACAAACAAACAAACAAACAAACATTCTCAGGAGGGGTGGCATTTGGGACCCACCTGGTAATTGAGATCCTGGTCTCCTGCCCTGAAATCTGGCCCTTTTTGCAGAAACTGTCAATCCTTGCCAAATTCCAGCTCAAGGTAACAGGGCTGTGGAAGAACCCTCCTTTTCTGTTTGAGACTGTCCCACCAACCACCACCAATGGAAAGCTTTTAATTGCCCAGCCCAGGAGATTGCTGATTTCCCCGCATCCACTACTGGCAAACAGGAAGGCCTGTTTTTATCTAGCACATAAAAACACGAGAAGAACCTGCTGGATCAGGGGCCATCTAGTGAGGCATCCTCTTACAGGGACTAACCAGATGCCCCAATGGGAATCTGGGTGCAAGAGCTACTCTCCTCTCCTGCGGTTTCGGGCAACCGGTGCTAAGCCACTTTAGTTAACTGTGAGATATTAAATGCAGGTCACAAGTCTCAGGGTCCTCGGACCCTTCAAAATACAGTCTGAACAAAATTGGTGAAGCTGCAAAGAATTTATTGATTGCAACAGCATTCTTGCAAGAACAGGGGCCCGAAATTAGGCACATCCAAATCCAGCAAAACACAAGCTTATATCACCGATCCTCGAATACAAGGTTCCCTTCTCTGCTCCCCATTGGCTGGGGACGTGCAGGGTTTACTGCCTATCACGACCACCTACCGTATTTTTCGCTCTATAAGACACACTTTTCCCCTCCTAAAAAGTAAGGGGCAATGTGTGTGCGTCTTATGGAGCGAATGCAGGCTGCGCAGCTATCCCAGAAGCCAGAACAGCGAGAGGGATTGCTGCGCAGCGCTCCCTCTCTCTGTTCTAGCTTCTGGCTTAGCCGCACGAAGCCTCTTCAGGGCAGGGAGCCTTTATCCCGCTGCCCTGAAGAGGCTTCGCACGGCTATCCCTGAAGCCAGAACAGCTGCGTAGCGCTCCCTCTCTCTGTTCTAGCTTCTGGGATTCAGAATATTTTTTTTCTTGTTTCCCTCCTCCAAAAACTAGGTGCGTCTTATGGTCTGGTGTGTCTTATAGAGCGAAAAATACGGTAATTAAAATACTAAAATCCATGCCTTTGTTATCATCTCCCATTCCTCTGAATTTCACGACCACCACTCATGATTATTTTTGCGTGGACAGGCGGAGTCTCCCAAACCCTGGGCGGCCCCCGTGTGGAATAACGACTCAAGACAACGTGCTATGGGATTAAAATTGGCCACAACTTTATTTTGTTTCAGATGTGGGTAGACCTAGGCCCAGGCACTGGGTGTTTATCCCTCCCAGGCCCCCGCCAGGGATCTGGGGAACATCAGGGTTATCCAAAGTGTGTGTGTGTGGGGGGGGGGGGTTGGCTCTGGAGAACATATGTTCAAGCAGAGAGAGCCCGCCCCAGTTACGCTGCCGTCGTAGGGGAGAGCAATGACGACCTCTAGGTGTACGGCCAACGCCTCCCCTCAAACAACCCCTTTAACGGGGAATCGCCGCCGCAAAGAGAAGGAGGGCATGGTCACCGCTACCCACCCATCCCCATTTAGGGAAGATAGGCTAAAGGATTCCGCCCAAGGCCTGATACCGCCAAAGTTGTGACGTTTTGCTATGGGAAAGGCAAACCTGCCAATGCAGGAGAATTCCTTTCCGGTCCTTCAACAGCGACGTTGATGTAGCAACGCCCGCGTACCTGTGGAGAAAAGGTTAACCTGCAAAAGAAGTCTTAACTGAGGGGGGGTAGGGTGGGAGAAGCTCTGGAGCCAACTGACGATTCCCAGGTAAGATCCTCCCCCTATTGTGTGGGCAGGTAGTCCCTCCCCCTACCTGGCCTGATCACCTTGGCAACGCCTCCCCAGGCAGGATTGGGCAACTAACAAAACAAAACAACACAAGCAACACGATGACCAGTATACTAGATCGCACTGCAATTCTTATTGCATAATATACATAATTTGCTACAACAACAACAAAATGTGTACACTTGTAAATTCTCTAATATGTTTAAAATCAAATGAACACAGGTCTGTCAATCTTTGGAAGTCCGTAGAAGTATAATAAATCTATAGTTGAAACAGTAATAGATGCTATCCTGTGGGCTAAGTGGTAAAACTTTTTAGGTGTTCATGGTGCCGAAGTTGTAAGTAAATAACAATGTAGACAGTGATCCTGGATAAGCTGACCTCCAGGTATCCCACCTGGGGAAGGCGAAGCCAAGCCTGTGCTAATTAATGGTGCCGCTTAGGGTCCAGGGGGCTGTCCATGACCACGCAAAGGGCACCCCCCCATTTAATGTGGGGAGCGGTCATTGTTCATGCTTTCAGGTGTTTTACACATTGACTCAAGCGATAAAGCCGCATTCTGAGCGGGTTCTCCATCTGCTGACGATGTTGGGATTTGAGTTCCCACCAGCTGTGAGGAAGCAGCACATTGTAGACATCATGTGATGTCTCTGAGCATGAGACAGGAAGTCCCAGCTAGTGTAACGCAGCTGGTGGGAACTCAAATCCCAACATCCTCCCCCATTTGAGGCAACACTATCTGCGAAAACAAGTGCAGCATCAAGAGAGAAAAACAAACAGCTGTTATACACATAATAAACCCCTGTTGTCCCAGCTTCATCTTTGGAACTACCTACGACTGGATCCACCAGTTCAAATCTCTGGTTACCTGTCTTCCAAGGAACTAGAGCTTCTGCTCTACCTTGGTTAGGGAGAATTGTGTTGCGCCTTGCAACCTCCAGGGGTGGCTTTGTCTCTGACTTGGACAAACCTTGAACCTGGCTTGAGTTGTTAACTACAGCTATACATGCAACAGCTGAGTTCTCAGTGTAACTTGAGAACGTACTTTCACTTCTGAGGTAGAAGTTGGGAGTCGAGCCGTAGCTACTCAGGAGAGCAGACATGCTTGTATTAGCTCCATGTACAGTCTTAATACAGTGGTGCCTCGCAAGACGAAATTAATCCGTTCCGCGAGTCTCTTCGTCTTGCGGTTTTTTCATCTTGCGAAGCACGGCTATTAGCGGCTTAGCGGCTATTAGCGGCTTAGCAGCTATTAACGGCTTAGCGGCTTAGCGGCTATTAACGGCTTAGCGGCTTTAAGAAAAAGGAAACAAACTCGCAAGAACTCGCAAGACGTTTCGTCTTGCAAAGCAAGCCCATAGGGAAATTCGTCTTGCGGAACGACTCAAAACGGAAAACTCTTTCGTCTAGCGAGTTTTTCGTCTTGCGAGGCATTCGTCTTGCGGGGCACCACTGTATAGTAGTGAGTTTTACTACGGACTGTCTCTTTCTTCTGTCATGGAATGCCAGAAGATTGGTGTGCTCCTCTCAGGAGGGAGGGTCACTTATTGCCGGTCTCTCTGAGGGAGGGAGGATTTCAGCCAGAGAGTGACCACCGGAGAGAAGCCCCGGGGTCTTGGGAAGTTGGCACCCATCCCGGGGCGTTTTCCAACAGACACATGCAGATAAGTTGCAAGCTGCCCAGTTTTTCGGGTGTTCTAACCACAAGCTTCTAAAGTTTTAAGCAAGTCCGCGGTTGTCTAACTGGAGTAACCATTTGACTTTTTGAAAAGGCAAGCAAGCAACCTTTCCTTTTTGGTCCCTGGAAAAAAGCAACACATTTTTTATTCCTCACATTAACCTGTAAACTGTTTTCTCCTTGCAACCCAGGTGGGGCCAGTAGTATAACACTTTCCCCTTCTCTTCCCCTTTCCATTTTGAAGGCTTCTTGACCATCAGAAAGAGAATCACCAAGAAGTGTTCGCCGAGCTGCCTGAATCTGAACATGGATATGGGCATTGGTGCCTTCGAGACGTCCTGTTGCCAAAGTTTCCTCTGCAACCTTTTTGGACACGTGGCAGCTAAAAACGAGACCCGGTGACGGGCTCTGTGTTCGGATCTGTGTTCAGATGCGACCCACTTCCTGGTGGCCCTTTGAGAAGCCATCTTAGCAAAGGGCTGCCAGGTCTCAAGGCCAGATCTGCCATTTTCATCCTGTCCTCCTAGGGGTGCAGTGATAAAACTGCTATCATATCCGATGATGTTCCCCAAGAAACCCAAAGCTTTGCAGGATTATAGAAACAGATATACAGTAGTACCTTGGTTCTCAAACTTAATCCGTTCCAGAAGTCTATTCCAAAACCAAAGCGTTCCAAAACCAAGGCGCGCTTTCCCATAGAAAGTAATGCAAAACAGATCAATCCGTTCCAGACTTTTATAAACAACACCAAAACAGCAATCTAACATGAATTTTACTATCTAACGAGATCATTGATCCATAAAATGGACCCTACTAAAGCAAATAGTCTAATTGGTCAATATCTAAAAGATATCGAGCATCAGAACAACCTGGCAACTATAAGGAAATTCTGCCCTTGGTATGTTCATTTTCCACCTCTCCATTTTGATTCTCTGGCCCCATATCTGCACAAACTTATTATCCCAAAATACAGATGTGCTTTCACACTTGAACCATAGAATTGTAGGGCTGGAATGCCCCCCCCCCCCGAGGGTCATCTAATGCAAACCCGAATCAGTCATTTTTGACTTAACAGTAAATACTGCTCTGAAAATTTATCATGCCCAAAATGAAACCTCCATCTGGTTGTAAAATTAAGATTATACTAGTGATTTAAATTGTGATTTAAATCAAATCTGTCAACCTGCTCAGTGAGGAGACTGCCAGTGAAAAAATTAAAAGCTTCTGGAACACAGTGTATAACGAGCTTAAAAAAATGTTTAAGTGTAACTTTATGAAAAATACAGAAGCTTTTCTACTAGGGATAACGAACACAGGTGTAGCAAAGAAGATGAGAAGGTATTCCTCTATGCCACAGGAGCGGCAAGAATCCTAATTGCTAAAAACTGGAAAAAAGAAATTGTGCCAACAAAAATGGAATGGCAAGACAAACTGTTAGAGTATATTGAACTGGCTAGTTAACGGAGGCAATTAGAGATCACACTAGACAAGAGTTTCAAAAAGCATGGGGAAATGCAGAGAATACATCACAAAACAGTGCCCTAAAATCCATACCTTGACTTGTTTTGATTAATTTCCGCAGGAGACTTTGTGGATATTTAAGTTATAATTAGAAAATCTTAATAATTATTCATAAAGGAAACAGTTTATAAGACGTAAATAAGGAGGCCAAGTACAAGATAAAGGAAGTCGTTTAGTTGGTTCTTTGTACTGTTGTATGTTATGCTCATTGTATTTCTATATTGGGGGTGGTGGTGGGTTTATGTCATGTTGTAAATAAAAGTTTCAATAAAAATTATATTAAAAAACAAAAACAAATCCACCCTGCTTCCAAGTGACCTGTTTTCTGCACATCCATCCTGATTCGCTTGCAGGTTGGTTGGATAACGTTGCATTGAGCAACCGTCTCGCCAGAGTGGTGCATGCTCTGGTTATCTCCCGCTTGGACTACTGCAATGCGCTCTACGTGGGGCTACCTTTGAAGGTGACCCGGAAACTACAACTAATCCAGAATGCGGCAGCTAGACTGGTGACTGGGAGTGGCCGCCGGGACCACATAACACCTGTCTTGAAAGACCTACACTGGCTCCCAGTACGTTTCCAAGCACAATTCAAAGTGTTGGTGTTGACCTGTAAAGCCCTAAATGGCCTCGGCTCAGTAGACCTGAAGGAGCGTCTCCACCCCCATCGTTCTGCCCGGACACTGAGGTCCAGCGCCGAGGGCCTTCTGGTGGTTCCCTCGCTGCAAGAAGCAAAGCTACAGGGAACTAGGCAGAGGGCCTTCTTGGTGGTGGCGCCTGCCCTGTGGAACGCCCTCCCACCAGATGTCAAAGAGATAAACAACTACCTGACATTCAGAAGACATCTTAAGGCAGCCCTGTTCAGGGAAGTTTTTAATGTATGACATATTAGTGTATTTTTGGTCTTTGTGGAAGCCGCCCAGAGTGGCTGGGGAACCCAGCCAGATGGGCAGGGTACAAATAATAAATTATTATTATAAATTATTATCGAGCAAGTCTACGAGGCGGCTGTGTTTGTATTACTGCGCACTGTTCTGGTCGCCTCACTGCAAAAAGGATAACGTAGAGTTGGAGAAGGTGAAGAAAAGGGCAGCCAAAATGATCCACAGGGTGGTGCAAGTCCCCCGTGAGAAAAGGACGCAGCATTTGGGACTTTTTCATTTAGAGAAAGTGTGAGCAGGAGCCGACATGATAGAAGTTTATGAAATTATGCCTGGCATGGGGAGAGTGGATGAGAAAATATTTTCTGCCTCTCTCAGCAGCCAGCTGGAGAAAGGCGGGAATAAATGGAAGAGTGCTGCCCCCCTGTGGCCAATATATGACAAGCCTCCAATGTGTGGTTTTCTTATACAGTGGTCCCTTGGTTCTCAAACTTAATCCGTTCTGGAAGTCCGTTCCAAAACCAAAGCGTTCCAAAACCAAGGCACGCTTTCCCATAGAAGGTAATGCAAAATGGATTAATCCATTCCAGACTTTTATAAACAACCCCTGAAACAGCAATTTAACATGAATTTTACTATCTAACAAGATCATTGATCCATAAAATGAAAGCAATAATCAATGTAAAAAGGTAAAGGGACCCCTGACCATTAGGTCCAGTCGTGGCCGACTCTGGGGTTGTGGCGCTCATCTCGCTTTACTGGCCGAGGGAGCCGGCGTACAGCTTCTGGGTCATGTGGCCAGCATGACTAAGCCGCTTCTGGCGAACCAGAGCAGCGCATGGAAACGCCGTTTACCTTCCCACCAGAGTGGTACCTATTTATCTACTTGCACTTTGACGTGTTTTTGAACTGCTAGGTTGGCAGGAGAATAATCAATGTACTGTACTATAAAATAAATAAGACAGCATTGTAGATGATAAAAATTAAAATTATTATTATTTTCTTACCGACACTGATGACAGTCATTGTTTGGATGGGGGGCTTTATCCATTTCTGCAGTCACACAATCAATCAATCAGTAGCTGAACTGGGCTTGCTAATTGACTGATGCTGTTCCATGGGAGACCGGTGATCGTCCTGAGCCAGCTGGGGGCCTGCCTGATGCCCCCGTCTCCCTGGCAGTATCCCAACAAAAACGTCCCTTCCTCCTTTGCAGCTGATCACCCTTGTACAGTGGCTGCTGGTGTCCTCTGGGGCTGGTGGGGGTGTAATGGTGGAGGCCAACAGTAGGGGCGCCAGAGCCAGTTCACTTCACCCTCCTCTTCCCTTCTGAGTCCTGCGAAAGGCAGCACTGAGACTAAGCAGGAAGAAGCCAACGGCCAGGGCACCCCTAGTACGTAGGCAGGTGGGGGCTGGCCGAGGTTGGGGGGCAGTGCCCCATTCACTCTCATGGACCAGCCCCCACTACCCTTGCAAACAGGCCTTGTTCCAGACTGTTGTAAGAGCAGCAATCCTCCCTCTCCTCCCAAGGTGGGGGGTCTGTGGGCAGAATTCCTGCACTGCGGAGGGTTGGACTACAGGACCCTTGGGTGTCCCGTACAACTCTTTGATTCTAGGTGTCTGTGTAACTTCTCTGCAGTGCTGGATTTACGTATAAGCTAAAGAAGCTATAGCTTAGGGTCCCTGTCTCTTGGGCCCCCAAAAAAATTAAAGGGAAGAAACTGGATGTACATTTCCAAAACATAAGATAAGAAACAAATAGAATAAAACCTACATACAGCAACAGTGTTTTGTGTTATGTAGGCTCCTATGATGTAAGTCATGGGCCCCGCCTGCTAGCCTGCTCCCTAAAATATCACTGGTTTGCTCCTTTCTATATATAGGGTGCCTACATTCTGCTTTTATGATTATTAGTAGTTTGCACCAGATATTTGCACCTATTATTATTTCATGTTATAGCAAGTTTGTAGAGACTAGATTATGAGTCTTTGTAAATTGTGTTTCTAAAGGGACTTTTGCTATTGCCAACTGCCAATGTGTTTGCATAATTACAAACTATTTTATGTTAGAGCTTAATAAATATTCCACTATTAATATACTTCTTAATTGCATTTCAGTTCAATGAAATTCAGTTCACTTTGATAAAATACGTATTTTGTTATGTGCAAATGGCTTTAGATACCTATTAGGTCTATAAATTACCATCTAGCATATAAGGTAAAAGTAAAGGGACCCTTGACCATTAAGTCCAGTTGTGACCGACTCTGGGGGATTTGAACCGCCGACCTTCTGATTGGCAAGTCCTAGGCTCTGTGGTTTAACCCACAGCGCCACCCACACCCCACATTCATAGAATCATAGAATCATAGAGTTGGAAGAGACCACAAGGGCCATCGAGTCCAACCCCCTGCCAAGCAGGAAACACCATCAGAGCACTCCTGACATATGGTTGTCAAGCCTCTGCTTAAAGACCTCCAAAGAAGGAGACTCCACCACACTCCTTGGCAGCAAATTCCACTGTCGAACAGCTCTTACTGTCAGGAAGTTCTTCCTCATGTTTAGGTGGAATCTTCTTTCTTGTAGTTTGGATCCATTGCTCCGTGTCCGCTTCTCTGGAGCAGCAGAAAACAACCTTTCTCCCTCCTCTATGTGACATCCTTTTATATATTTGAACATGGCTATCATATCACCCTTAACCTCCTCTTCTCCAGGCTAAACATGCCCAGCTCCCTTAGCCGTTCCTCATAAGGCATCGTTTCCAGGCCTTTGACCATTTTGGTTGCCCTCCTCTGGACACGTTCCAGTTTGTCAATGTCCTTCTTGAACTGTGGTGCCCAGAACTGGACACAGTACTCCAGGTGAGGTCTGACCAGAGCAGAATACAGTGGCACTATTACTTCCCTTGATCTAGATGCTATACTCCTATTGATGCAGCCCAGAATTGCATTGGCTTTTTAGCTGCCGCGTCACACTGTTGGCTCATGTCAAGTTTGTGGTCAAC